TAATTACTGATCCTTCTTCCTGATTCTCACCTTTTGTATTCCAGCCACCCTTTATTATTAATGCATTTTGGTCACATGTTCGACCAATTTCTGACTGCAATAGTAGATAGAAATAATCTATTTCCTCTTTTTTGACTCTGGTTGTAGGCAAATAAATTTAAATGACAATGGTATTAACAGGTCTTATATGCATATGGATATTGTCATTCACAATATTGTAATTCAAAATGGATCTAGAAATGGCCTTTTTTATGTATTAAAGAGACCCCATATTTTTCTCATCTTTTCAACTCCAGCATAATAGATCATAGGTTTCTGGGATTCAAAATGTCCCATGCCAATCCATCTCATTTCACTAATACCCAATATATCAATATTTATGTGTTACATTTCTTTACAATGTCCAGTTTTTCTATGCTTCTCACATTCCACATACTAATTGTAAATTTCTTACAATTGTTTCTCCTTCTTTGTGTTTCCAAATTTATGTGCTCAACTTCAGTTTCCACATCTGTTAGTGTACTCTAAGTGTGCTTTGCTGTACCTAGAGTTTTCAAAGGCCAGTTACATTTGAGAAGTGGATGGCCAATCCTTCTTTCTAGTATGTCTTAATTTAGATATTCACTGTTAGAAGAATATCTTACAGACACACATTTTACCTACCAGATGAAAGACCTTTAATAAGCTGGATTGATTCAGTGACTGGAATAATGGGGGTAGGTGTGTCGGAGACAGTGAGATTGGCACAGTATAGAGCAGGGTTTAGGGCTGTTGTGTATAGGTTTGCTGTGAGTTGCAGGCAACTCGATGGCACATAAGGCACATAAGAACAAACAACATAGTACTAGTGCTATTGTTTGATAATTTCCACATTCTATCAGTTCGCTTTTTTTTTTGAACGGGAATAAATATGGATCCTTTCTAATCATTTGGCGAGGTGGTAGTTGTCAAGATTTCTGAACACAACCCGGTGAGCAAGTCTAGTGAAGAATCTGGTTGATTAATTATGTCAATTGGTACTCCATCAATTCCTAGGGACTTATTTTTTTGACTAGTTCTTCAGAGTAGTCTGCACTTCCTCCTTGATGACCGTTTCTTCTTGATCATATGCTGTTTCTTTAAATTCTTCAGTGTCAGCCAATTCCTTTTGGTACAGTTACTTTGTATATTCCTACAATCTTCTTTTAGTGCTTCCTGGATCATTCAATATTCTGCCCACCACATCCCTAAGTATTAAAATTCATGGCTTGAATTTGTCCTTTAGTTCTTTCAGTTTAAGGAATGCTGAACAAGTTGGCCCTTTTGATTACCCGACTCCAACTCCTTGCACATTTCTTTAAAATACTTTGGCTTGTCTTCCCAAATTGTCTTTTGAAATCTATTCAGCTTCTTGATTTCTTTCCTTTGCTTTGACTTCTCAACAATCTAGCGCATTATTCAGAGTTTTTTGATATCGATTTTGGTCTTTTCTTCTTCCTCCTCCATCTTTTCTTCATGGATGGTATTCTTGGTATCTTCCCACAGCTCATGTGGTCTTCATTCATTAGTGTTCAAGGCCTCAAATATGTCCCTGAGTTGGTTTTTAAATTCAGGTTGGATAGAATGAAGATGAAATTTTTGTTCCTATGAATTTCATTAGATCTTCTTTAGATTTAATTTGAATTTACTTGTGAGTAGTTGATGGTCTGTTCCACAATCAGCACCTGGCTTCATTTTCACTGCTGATACTGAACTTCTCCAATGATTTCTTCCCCAGATATAATCGATCTGATTCCTGTGCATCCCTTCAGGTAAAATCCATGTGTATAGCCAGTGTTTGTTTCTTATAAAAGGTATTTGCAATGAATAAATTGTGGATTGTGCAGAACTCTATAATTCTATCCCCAACCTCATTTCTGTCACCAAGTTCATGTTTTCTGACTACTGATCCTTTTCTTCGTTCCCAACTTTTGCATTTCACTCAACCATTATTATTAATGCATTTAGTTGCATGTTTGATCATTCTGAACACTGCCATGGTTGTGTCAAATACTATAATGGTTACCCATCATGTACAATGTTTGAAGGAGCTTCCAGATTGATTGAGGTTGAGAAGCAGGAGTGGCATCCATTTCCTAAACTATATGCCTCTGGGAACTAAACTCTATACACTTGCAGAAATGATATTAGTTATAGAACAGAGTTCTGGTCTTTTGTTCAAGGGTAGCTGTGAGTTGTATTCAGTTTGACGACACTTAACCACTGCTAAGTGTGACTAGTGTTGTTATATCTGGAGGAACATTCTTCTAATTTTACATCAGTCTTTGTTATGTACTATATAAAATAATCTAGGTTTGCTGTGATGCTGAACCTTGTGTCAATGGGGTATTGAATACAATTATGATTTACCAATGTGGACAGTGTTTGGTGGAGCTCCCAGTTGTAAAATAGGTTTGGAAGCAGGAGTGGCATCCACTTCCTTAACTACATGACTCTGGAAACTCTATGAATTTGGAAAAATGATAATAGTTATGGGAACTCATTAGGTCTTCTGTTCATAGAGTCGCTATGAGTTGTGCTCAACTTGATGGCAATCATCAATAATAACAATAGTTTCATGTTCAATCTCTTTCTGACTGCAGAAGTTGGTAGAAAGAGTCTAATTCCTCCACTTTGGCTCAAGCTGCTAGTAATGGTATTAACAGTGCTTCCTTGTATGTATATGGATATTATCCCATCACTTACAATATTGTATTTTAAGCTAGCTATAGAAAAGGGCTTTTTAACTGTGAAAATGACCCTGCTTTTTTTCTTACCTTTTAATCTCCAGTGTAATAGATCATATGATCATCCGATTCAAAATGTCCCATGCCAATCCATCTCAGTTAGCCAATAAGTAGTATGTCAATATTTACATTCCATTTATTTCTTAATGATGTCCAGTTTTCTTCCATTCTTGCTTTTCACATTCCACATTCCACATTCCATGTTAGTTTCTGATTACAAATGTTTCTCCTCTTTTGTGTTTCCAAATTTGAGAGTGCATGCAGCCTTGGTTGCCATATTTGTTAGTCTACTCTTAAGTGTGCTCTATTGTACATAAGGTTTTTTAAGGCCTCTTATATTTTGGAAGTGAATGGACAATCCTGCTTTCTAGAAAATCCTGCTATTCATTTATTTTTTTGACTGAGTTCCTATAAAATCACCATTAGTAGTGGCATTTTGACATATAAAAACAGTTAAGTGAATCTACTAGGGAAGACAATATTTATAAATTAAAGTTATTTTGGGGTTTGGCCACCATAAAATCAGCACCCAACACATGGTAACTCTAATGTGTTATAGAGTAGAACCACTCCATAGACTTTTCTTGACTACTGTTTTTACATAAAGAGTTTGCTAGACCTTTTACCCATGGAGCCCCTGGATGTGTCCAATTTACTAAACTTTACATTAACAATTTATTGTAAAGTGTTTTCACAATCCATACTTTTATATTAGTGTTGGAAGAAAGTAATTTTAATAGATTCGGGTTGGAACAGTTAGAATTGAGACAACTTTTCTGAAGATTAATCTAAATTTATGTTAATCTAATTAGCATAACTTCTCTCCTCATATTTTTCACTAATTCATCAGGGTTTTTTTAATTAAAAAAACTTACAATGAACAAAATTGTGATTCAAATTATTGTATTAATTAAACTGTCTGGGATAACAAATAGAGTCAGAAATGTAAATAGCCTGCAACATTATGAAGTTTCGCCTTGGTTTCCATAAAGATCCAAGAATAATAATGCTGGCCAGTGAGTAGTTTTCAACAGTGACTCAGAACAGTCTTGGCTCCCTCTATGTTATGTGGTTCTTTTAGAGATTCAGTCTTATTTGTGTGTAAGGAGAGAAGAAGAGAACACAGAAATGGCATTAGACTTATACTTAAAATTCATGGGCAAAGAATTAGTCAAATCTTCATTTATAATAACAAAGGAGGTCATGATTGAGTTTCTTTGTTTGTCTAGAGAGGGAAAATCCATTTTAATCAAAGCTAAATTTTGTCCAGAAAAAAGTAAAAATTATTACATGTATAAGATAAAGTAATTATGTAAAAATAGTTTATATAATTATATATATAATACATATGCCAGATGTGCAGGCT